GCACAAGAGAGCAAATTTTATTATTCCAGATCTTCTTTTATAGACAGGTCTGAGAAGGTCTGAGAGGTAAAACTCTCATTGGTCATTAAACTAACACATCACCATCACTGGACAATTGGAATGCCACCCCCTGACTGTTTCTTACAAGTAAACAACAGGGATCTAAACACCACCTGCAAAGGTTGTTTTCCTTCTCCAAGGGCTGTTTGGATTCCTCCTTATGCTTTCTCAGGCCAGAGTGAGAACCTTGCGTGACTCAGTTTCACACAGGCTCAGTGCTCCCCGCCTGCTTTCAGCATCCATATCAGAGATTAAAAACATGCCAGGTGGTAACTGGACAGGGTGATTACTGGACCAGAAAAATATAGGTGAGGTACAATTACAGCACAAACTGACTTTTATATAACTGTGTAGGGAATCATCCCACCTGACTATTTTTTCACCTATTACATTTATAGGTCTCTTTTCTTTCTTTGTTAATTTAATGTCTTTCATATAACAAAATTTCACACTATAGTCCATTTTTACTGAACCAAGCAGTTCCAACTCTTGTGGTTCTAGTGGTGCACATAGGAGTTTCTGGGTCCAGTAGTCCCAGGCATCTACAGAGCTATAGACCTTGGTATTCTTAGGATCGTTTCTTTGCAGGGTGTGGACAGCATCTTCTGGTATTGGCCACACATCCCAGGGTAACCCAACTAGGCAGGTGGAAAAAGGGTTACCAGGACTCACTACAGAGAATTGTTTCTTGGTTTGTTGTATTTGCCAATGTTACCCAAACATTTTGTTTCCATTGTGGAAGGATCCAGCTGTTACCTTGAAGGAGGAGACCAAGAAAACTATAGAGTGGGGAGTTTTGAAAGGTCATACTCAGTTTCTTTAAGTAGATCTTTGTGAGTCTTTGTTTGGTCCTTCAGATAGTCTCTCAACCATTGATTTAGTAGCCTGTTCTAACCTAATTCCCATAGGTAATATTCAGTTGGAAACAGTAGCATTGTCATAATGCAACACATATCATGCAGGGTCAGTAGATGAGCTGAGAAAGTACCTAATATTAGACTGGTGAAGTATGGTGATTCCCTCCCATGCTCCTGTGGGGTTTTGCATAGCTCCTTAATTTCCCCATAGGCCAATGGTTCCCAATGCAGATTGGCATCTCTGCAATGATGCAATCATATAAGAGACCAGCATTATTGTTAAGTCTTGAAGCCAAGTTGCAGTTCCCCTCCTTTACTGCAGTCCTCCAGATTTTCTCCCATGGGTCTTTATTGGGCTCTGGTAGGCTGATGTCCTCTTGAGATGACAAAGAAGAGGAGAAGGAGGAAGAAGAACCATCTGACTCAACAAAAACCTTTTTATTAGACTGGTGTTTGTGTCCCAGTGTAGGTCTTTGTGTAGGTCGTGCTGCCAGCTGCCTGGGTGCCGCCATGTTGGAGGCTGTCCCTTCTGGAACCAGGTGGGTGGGGTTCCGGTTTCATCGAGGGGGTGTGGCCTACAGGGACAGTTCCGGTTTTCCTGAAGGGGTGTGGCCTGAGGTGGAAGGGGCGTGTTCCAGAACAGAAGGGGCAGGGCCAAGGGAGGTGTCCCAAGGGTGATTAAGAGTTGGATGGTAAGTATTAGTTGCAGTCCCAAGATGCCAATCAGTTACATTTCCGGTGTTAGAAGAGAAGGTAGTGAAGAAAGGACAAAGAGAACGTGGAGGAATGGGTAGGACAGAGCAGGAGGGATCCAAGATGGCCTCTACACTGCCATCTTGGGCCCGGAGTGGATGAGGTGGACACAGGACGACGGATCCATCAGCCAAACCATTCTTCCATCTGAGCCCATCACAGGCATATGCCTTCGCAACTTCAACCCTATATCTACCTCTGGAATAGTTCAAGGAGCAAGGGGAATAGGAAGAAGAGTCAGCAATCCCAGGAAGTTCCAAACTGGTGGATTTTTTTATCTTCAAATCTTAATATCTCCATAATCATTTGGAAAATGGGAAGTAATTTCTGAGCTGAGCTGTCTCTTTTGGTGGCCAAATCATATCTTTTAATGTCTGAGTCCCAGAATAATCTTGTTTTAGCCATGGGTGCAGTAGCATCAGAAGAACTTTTGAAAGCCCATCTGATGATATTTTTTAATTTTTTTTTTTCAAATTTCTTGTCCCAGGATGGCAACCTAAACTTAAAAAAATGGTATGCATTCCTCTCTATGTGCAACATCTATGAGCCCATCTTTGGAAAATGAAAGCACAGTTTTTCAAAGCTACTGCCAAACTCTTGGAGGTTTCAGGGAAACTCCGAGGATCCTGTAATTTCAAAATTAAAAGAAAAACATCTGAGTGACAGGGCAATTGTCTCCCTTCTCCTACCTGCTCTTGTTGCAGGATGCCTCACCATGGTCCATGTGGCTACCTTGGGGTGCCTCCCCTGCTGCTTCAGGCCTCCTGCCTCCTGATGTCTGAGCCGCCGAAGTCTTCGGCCAGGTCTGCAAGGTCTGACACAAAAATCCAAAATCTGAAATTCACTGGAGAAGGGAACTGCCTAGTTGGCTTGAGGACTCTAGCCAACACAATCCCAACCCCTGAATATCAGAGGTCCCTGTTTGGGGGCTACCTGTAACATGCTGGGCCCAGATGGTCTGGCTGGGTGTTTCCTCAGGATCCTCAGCGAGAGGTCCACAAGAGGGTGATGAATAAAAGAGAGACAGGCACAATCTAGTGACCCAAAAAGAAAAGCTTTAATAAGCAAAACAACAAACTCAGAATCCATACACAGCATAGGGTTCACATCATAGGGTTCACTAAAAAGGCAAGGGCCAGGGTAAGTTACAAACTTATATTTGTTGGCGTGAAGTCTGAGAGAAAGGGTCCAATAAAAACCAAGGACTAGGAATATGTAAAATCCTATTGCACCAAATTCTAACCAATAATAACAGAGAAACTACAGAATTTTCTACTACTATTAACATATAATCATTCAGGGGCATTTCCAGGGCACAGGGATCTATCTAAAAGAGATCCTTCTTTCAAGGGCCTGGGGCAAAATCTTTTGCCAAGCCTTTGGCCTGATGGACTCCAACAGTCATTAACAGAGTTGTAACTCTTAAAAATTATGATTTTGGCAGATGTTCACCACCTTTTGATTATCAGAGATACCCAGCTTCCCCAGATGAGCATCTTAGCCCACCTGTGCTCAAGTACAGTCATACACAAAGTTGATGGGTCATTCCTTAGAACTATATGAGAAAAATGAGTCATTAAGAAAGAAAAAAGAGAGGGGAAAAGCGTTCTCCTAAGAGCTGTGCTAAATCTCTATTGGTCAGTTCCTATTCCCCACCCTCACTTCATCTTCTGCTAGATTATCACCTTTTCTTTAGTGCTACTAGGTCAAGTGTTTGTAAGATCGGACTAATCTGAGCTGGCAGAATCAGTCTTCTTAAATAAAACTAAGGGCACCTTTTTCATATTATTTTCTAGTTCAGCCTAAAAGGCAAAAGAACTCCACTTCTCATGTTCATTTTGCAATTTTCTTTTTCACCTGTCTGTTATTTAAAAAGTCAGAAGAGACCTATGAATGGAAATACATCTTCACATAGGCAGATGTAGCCTTGTAAATCTGCCAGGAATATGGATGGCTCCCTGAGCAGAAAGGACAGGGCTTATCAGAGATCATTCAGGAGAGTTTGTGAACAATTTTGTGTATGAAAGAAAGCCTAGGTTTAAGTCTAGGGTACACAGTGTTACCAGCAGCAATTGAAAGCTCTTCCAATGAAAGAGGCATAAGACCAAGCCAAAATTACCAGATTTGGTCTCAGTCCTTCAGCACTTTTCCAGGCCTTTAGACCATGACCTGATAAAAGACAAACAGACACTATGCTACAGCCTAAAAAGATTTGGCATAAATGGCTTAGTTTAGAAGCCATGTACTATTTAGATCCACAGGACTGCAAGCAGAGAGATTAATCTTCATAAATGGCCCATATGCCAACTCTGACCTGTTTGTGACCACATATGACCAAAACACATGAACAAACTTGAGTTCAGACTCTGCAACTCTGTGAATTTTTGGTACCAAGTAATTCCAAAGAATTGTGGAATAAAATTTTTAACTGTAGTCAGGAAATACATACAAGTAACACTGTGCAGTTACAAATGATCCTTATTCTAAATGCCCAGAAGTTAAACATATGGCAGTTGTTTCCCTAGCTAAAACTCCTCACCCCCTGGTGTGTATGTTGGTACGCTTAGCTATTTACAAAGTTCCTGTGAAACAGTGCTTCTGTATCTGTTTGTGAAACAAAGCCTATAGATCTAGAAACAGTAATTCGCTAAGCATATTGTAGGAATGAACTCTAAAATCACACTCGAGCATCCTAAGGGACAACTAACTAATGACAGATGTATAGAAATAACAAATCATAAACATTATACTCTTTCAAATTAATCAAAGCCTGTAAGGAATAATATGAATACTAAGAAAATTGAAATTGGCAGTTACCTACCAAAAATAGATTATTTGAATATTTGGAAAGAAAAAAATAATGTATGCTAGACACATAAAGTAAAGGTCTGCTTCAATTGCTAAAGCCATGCACTGATAGGAAGTTTGGCCCATTAATGAAACTTGCTACCGTAAACTCATTTATAACACTGGAAGAATGTCAAGAAAATTCTTCAGGGAGAAAAAATAGGTGCTGTGTGATAATGATATTCCACTATAATGGTTATTAGCTAATTGGCCACCTTGGAAGCTCTGCTGTTTCCCTGACACTTCCATATATGCTACAAACAAACAAAAAAACAAAGCTTACCACTGGGGGGTATTGTTATAAGCTGTAAAAGAAAGGCACCTGGAGGTGCTAACAAATTTATTACACAGGTGTTATGTCAAGATGTAGCAGGAAGGCTCATGAAGGAGGTAACAAACCTGTTATGCCCATGTGGTGCTGTTCACACAATGAATTACAAAGGCTTCTTTACAGAGAAGATGTGATCATTTCTCCATTTTTAGGCACAGAAGTAGCCTCAGTTGAATAAGGTTTGAGAAGACTTACAGAGTTTTACAGAAGAGAAGCTGTACCAGAAATCCATGTCACAGAATGTCAAGATGTAAGTACAATTAATTAGTCTGTGTCCTAGAAAGTAGATGGTTAAATAGGCAAGATAGAGGTTTCTCTTCAGTCCATAACCAAGTCAGCTAAGAAACCCTAGGCCAAATAATCTTCAATTTTCACAGCTTCATTACCAAAATTATTACATCCTGAAAATATTCTCATTAGCTACATTAGCTACGTCATAACTGTAAGTACTGTTAAAATACAAAGCAAATAATGCAAACAAGCTACTTCCATCTGGGGAAAAAAATGGAGTGACAGAAACATGAGACAGAATGTTTTGATGTTATCCAGAAGGCTTGGGGGAGGAATCACTTTCTGCAGAAGATGCTATCACTACTCTGTGTCCCATCAGAGGGAAAAAAGTAGGAATATTCATCCAAAAGCAATGTCTCTTTTCCAACAGACATTCTCAAAGGAAACTCTGGCCATTAATTTTCTTCCAAATAGCCCTTCGCCACTAGTGAAGATGAAAACCTTTCTTCTGGTTTCTCTTCATCTTTATATGCCATCTTCTTTCTGCCTTTGAAATTAACAGAGTCAACAGGAGAGCCCACATCCAGTATGTCCCTGTCAGGAACCTTGATGACAAATTAGACTGTTGCCCTGACAAGCATCTCCCAGAGCCTCCATCTACACCTTCTGACTGGAGCCTCCATTTAACCTCATGTCTATGCCTTCAGTCTCTGCTTAGCTACATCACAGGTACACTTGCCCCCTGCTGTGCCTGAATTATTGTTTGGATTCACCTGCCTCTGGTACCAGGGGACAGCACTGTGTTGCCAAGGTCATTGTCTGGCCTGCCTCATGGCTGCTCTTCTGAAACCTTCTTTTGGGAAACAGCCTCTTCTTGCTGCTACCTGACCTTCCCATGATGAAAATATACTTGCCTTCCTAAAAGAGTCTCACTTGTCCTTATAAATAGGACTGTACCTTCTGCCTCTGGAAGCCCTCCTTAATAATAGTCCTTAAATGCTTCTCCGATCTGTTGCATCCAATAACATCTAATACATTTGTAAATGGTGGCAGTGAGTAACTCAGTTGAGCATAATAAAAATGCAATGGGAAACAAGATGTAATATTCTCTGACTACCTCCAAGTATATATTATGAATTAGAGTAGGAACATACCAAAATTTTTGATGCACCCTCAAAACAGCCACCTGATTAGTGATACATTATATACACACCCAAGACTCATACTGATTGGATCCTGGGAGAAGGGCAATGAGAAGGACTAAGAATTAGATATTTGCTGTCATACTCACTGCATGGGCTCCTATTAAATTATTCTACTTCCTTTGTCTCAAGGACAGAGTGTCTCAAAATAGTCATATACAACAGGAAGTGTTTGGTACTGTCTTATCAGCATTGAAAAATTATTATCCTGAGTGCTGAAACAGCAAGTACTCCTCTTGCTCTGTGCCTGTCTTTTGTCTCCTGATCCTCACCTCCATGGTTCAAATGGCTTCCTTTGAGCTTAAACATGGATTTGGGGTGATATTCTGGGTTTCCTCTGAACTGGCCAATGCAAAATATTTATTTTAAAAACAAAATGTATTTCTCTCATTGGGGGTGGCGGCTATATGTTCCAAATTTTACAGATTCTGTCAGTTCTATTCACAAAAATTTTGGAGCATAATTTTACATCCCAAATTTACTACATTTTGCATCAGTGTTTTCCTTTAAGGTCTGGTAACATTTTAAAACTTTATATCTACAGGCACAATCATAATATCTTTCAGTTTCTGCCATTCCTAAATACTACACACCATTTCAAGGCTCTTGAAATCCAAACTTTGCCAAAGGCTTTTGTTGTTCTCACCTGATCTTTTGCCACCTTCTAAAGCATCCAAAGATCTTGCCGGCTCTGACTAAATTGAACAGGCTATAGTTAACAGGTTAGCTATGTTGTTTCCAATGCTGGTAATTTAGTTAGTACATTCCATGAGACAGACATATATTATTTTGTTGCCATGTGCCAATGAATACTATTAAGGTTTACTGTGATCCTAGAATGATTCTACACTGAAATCAGGAGACAAAACATGGTCTCAAATGGTAGGTGAGTCGTAACTAAAAAAAACATTTCCCTCATGTGAGGTTATTACAGACTTTATAGTGAAAGAGTGTAGCTAAATTCTTTAATGGTAACTTAATGCATGACTATAGCAAGAGCACATATATTTTAACACATTCTCACACTTACTTGAACAGAAATTTCCTGAGTTTATCTCAGGAAAGAAAAACAACCAACCCTCCCCCAGAAAAGAAAGAAAAAAAAAAAAAGTCTGCTGAACCATGACCACACAGTGATTTCAGTCTGAACAAACTCAGATTTTCAATAAACACAGTTTTTAGTAACTTAGCAAAACAATTTCTCCCTTTTCTTTGCAGCCAGTAAAAGACTGCTAAAATTTGCAGCCAGTTTTCTGCAATGCATCAGGCCCCTTAGTGGAAGACACAGAATGGTAAATCACAATATGTAATTGTCACTTCGAGTGGTTCCCTTAAACTTGTTTAGTCAGAGAAAGCATCTACTTTTGTTTTTCTCCAGAGCTGATCAGAAGAGTCAAAGATACAGCTTGTATTTCTGACTCTCAGTGCAGCGAGCAGTTATGGAGTTATGGAACTCCACACCCTACCAGGAGTTGCCAGCCTGTACAATGCATAGTAAACCTGGGAGGGGTTGGACAATGGAAGTCCATGGCTGCTCTTTCCAGATGTCTGCTCTGCTACACTACTGTACCAATCCTAACCAAAAACTGGAGGAAGCTACCTTTTAAAATCCAGATTGTGGAATGACTTTGCAGTTTAGTTGCACCACAACAGCCGAGGAGCTGGTAAAATTGTTGTGAATTGTAAGGTTTAGTCAGGACTGTTATTTTTTCAGCTACAGTCTCTATTTGAAAGCCTTGTGCTGTCAGGCTGGAGCAAAGTTAAATGACCTAGTCAATGACTACCCTGCTAAGAAAGCTCTTAGGGTTTTTTCCAGGAAGCTGAACAAAGAAGATCCTACTAGAAATGGTACTGTATAGTATTCTCAGAAATATAATGTATCTGATTACATAAACACTACATATTACAAAGAACTTCAGTTTTAGTAGGAGAGTTATCTGAAAAACAACAATGTATCAAATTATTCTGAGTAAATGGGAGCTACATAAAATGGATAATAGGTAATCATTAAATAGAGAGCAGCTTAGAAGACCTTTTATCTGCCAAATACTAATTTATGTCATAAACACTCAAAACCATGGCATTACAATTACAACTCCAAAACAGAAAAACAGGTAATTTGTTTTTGTTTTGTTTTCATAGCGTAAACAAGCATTAACAATATGGACAACAACAATATCAACAAGATAAAAATACAGGAGGTGTTAGTTTTTTTAAATTTATAGAATAATAGCAAAGACAAGTAATTTTTAGTAAAATACGGTGTTGCTAAAACCAGATAAACATAGTTTGTTTAAAAGAGATCAGGTTGACTAATTGCATCTGTCTACTTGTATTTGTATGCTGAGCAGACAAAATATTGTGCACCCGGGCCCTGATGCCGTAATTGGATCTGTGCATACAGATCTCTGTTCCTCCTCTAAGTTCTATTTAATTAAATTATGCTATATACCTCTTTAAAGTAAACAAGACCATTATTCAGTTTATATGTCCATATAAAAGAGACAGCTGGAAACAATACATCCATTCAACACAATCACACCTAATTTATAGACGGCACAACCTCATAGACTTCCCTAAAGTTGCAAGAAGCACAAATTTGACATAGATCAGGAAGAATACAGTTTAAATTAATGAAAAAAAGGAGAAAAAACCCCAGACATAACTAATCAGAGAAGCAACCAGAAATTAATAAATAGAGTAAGTGGACCAATTAAACAAACAAAACCACAAACAAACAAACAAAATTCCAAACAACAAAAAAACACTAAAAGTGTGACAGGTGAAGCAGGAATATAACTCCCAAAGTCCAAATTTGCTTCATAGAAGTGTTTTTCCTCACATTATCTTTATCTCTCTTTCTCCCCTTCACTCCTTGCCTCCCAGGAAGGGAATGCTCAAAGTTTTCTTCCTTTGTGTTGTTCCCTGCTTGTGTTAGCAACCAGCTCACAGGCCCTATCACAAAGGATTTATTTTCTTTTTCTATTATAACAATCTATCAAAATTTCTATTGGCTTTGTGAACTGCAGTTGAAAGTTAATTTAAAAGCATTCTTCAATGGCAGCAAAATCTAGATTACTGGCAAAACACACTTCTTTTTACTTTTATAGTGTACAGAGCAATTACAGGAAAACCCTTATAGTATTTTTAAATTACATTGTATATTTAACTTGTAACAAGAAACATGTGTGCTAAGGGATGAAACTGTATGTCATTTTTCACTATCTGACCTCTAAAGAAAAGTTCTTTCAAAGGACTCAAAAATCCTTAATTTTTAGATTTATACATGTATGAAAATTTAATTACTAACATATAAAAAACATATTCAAATACATTGGAAAGATTGAATATATTAGTATATTCTCATATGTGTGTATGTATGTTCTCATATTAGCATATCTAAAATAATATATTTATATTCTCACTTCCTTTTCTCATAATAACTGGGTCAAACATAATAATTTCTGAGTCTGCTGTTATGTCTAAAATTCATTTTTAAGCTGTATGTTAAGACTAAACAACTACTCCCCAAAATACTTCTTTGATCATAGTGATTTGTCTTTTTCCCGTAGTTTGTGGAGGAACAGAAAAGCAAACTTCTAGATACTCCTGTATTCTTAGGAGTGAAGTCTATCAGACTCACAGGTCATTCAAAAATTGTCCTGTGACTGTCATCCCTTTGATAGAGACTACACTTTTCTTTAACAACGCAGCCCAGAAAAGGATTTAGCTCAGTGAAGTACACCCTACACAGGACATAACCAGAGGACCACAGTTCCTTGCAGTTACATGAAACACAGATGTCTCTGTCTGGGGCCATGTCCCCAGAGGATAGTCCCCAGAGGATGTCCCCTGGATAGAGATGTCTCTGTCCAGGGCACCTCCTGCCTTTGGGTCCACTTCTAGGGAGCAGAATGTAGATGCAGCTCCCTTGAACTTCACACAGCCACGAGTATGTCACCAGACTTTGCCGAGCATCACTCAGCTTCCCACTCTACTCTCCAGTCAGGGGACCAGACATCTGTCTACTGTCCCACCTATGGACCTTGGAGGGCCCAGCTTGAGCTGTTATTTTGTTGTTTAGTTATTGCACCCAGAGGATGTGGACATTTGAAACTCTGCTATAGGAGAGGGGTGAGGAAATCTGGTGTGACTGAGTGGGGGGGTGTAGCTGTGAAGGGGCCTTGGTTCCAGCTCAGATGGTGCAAGAGTGACTGCCCAAGTGGCTCCTGGTTAGGCAGGGAAGTTTCCTTACATGTGGCTCAGCGAATTTACAAGCCTACATGTCCAGCTTTAACACAGACAGGGGCTGACCACCTTTTAACGGCACAACAGCCACTGCTGAGGCTGTGCCACATGGAGAGACGGCATGACCAGCATCCAGCTCAGGGCTGGTACCTGAATTCTGTCTGGTGGTGCTGGGTGAGGGGCTGGCATTCTCCCTCTGTCCTGCCTACCCCAGGTCCTCTGTGGGATCCAAAGGGCAGGAGGACACTGGGGCCATCAAGAGATGGCAAAGTCCTTGCCCTGTGGCTGCTGCCCTGAACCTTGGAGCGCTACAGGCTGGGGGGGGAGTGGATGGACAATGGACAATGTCATCTTGGCTTGTACTAGCAATAGTGTGGCCAAGAGGACCAGGACAGGGACCATCCCCCTGTACTGGGCACTGTTGAGACTGTGCCTCAGGTCCTGCTTTCAGTTCTGAGCAGGAAAGAAACTGGGGTTCTGGAGAGAACCCAGAGAAGGAAAACGTAACTGAGGAAAGGTTTGGAGCACAAGTCTGATGAAGAGCAACTGAGGGAGCTGGGGCTGTTTAGCCTGGTAAAAAGGAGGCTCAGGAGAGACTTTATCGCTCTCTACAACTCCCTGAAAGGAGGCTGTAGCCAGGGGGGAGTCGGCCTCTTCTTCCAGGCAACCAGAGACACAAGAGGAAACAGCCTCAAGCTGTGCCAGGGGATGACACGAGGAGGAATTTTTTCACAGAAGCGGTGATTAAAGTTTGTAATGGGCTGCCCAGGGAAGCAGTAGAGTCACCGTCCCTGGAGGTGTTTAACGAAGGACTGGACGTAGTGCCATGGTCTAGTAGACACGTCTTTGAGTCACAGGCTGGACTCTTTTCCAGACTAAGCGATGCTGAGCCATCGATGCCGCGTTCCCGTGCACCGGGACGGGCGGCCGAGCCCACAGCACGGTACAGCACGACCGCGCCCCACAGCGGCGGCACAGCCGCACTGCGCAGGCGCCGCGGACGGAGCGGCGGGGTGCGCGGGCCCTCGTTGCGCCTGCGCCGCGCTCCGGTCCGGGGCGGCCCCGCCCGCGGGCGCTCCCGCCCGCCCCGCCGGGCCGTGCACGGGGGTCCCGCTCCGCCGCCGCCGCGCCGGGCCTCGCTGAGGGGCGGGCGGCGGCCACTGGCCGCGGGGAGCCCCTCGACAGTTCCACCTGGTGCCGCCTGGAGCGGGGCGGTGACCAGCACATCCCGACTCCTTCTTCCTCGGAGCAGCGGGGGTGGAGAGATAGGGGCTGGGGGAGGTCCTCTCCGCCCCCGTCGGAGGGAGCGGAGCGGAGCGAGGGGAAAGGTGGGTGTCGGAGAGGGGCCGGGTTTCGGAGGGGCCGGGCTTGGGGTGGGGATATTCCCGAGGGCTGCTCCGCCAGGTACTTGTGGAAGGAGGAAGCCGGCGGCCGTCACCGACCTGGAGCTGAGGGGCCGGGCGCTGCCGCGGGGAACTTTGTGGTACTCGGGGTGTGCGGGTTCTCGCTTCCGTTCCCTTCCTCTTTCTTTTTCTCTCTTATTCTCCCAGCGCGGCCCGAGTCGCGTTTTCCCCACGGCCGTAGCCGGGGCGGGTTTCCCGCCCCGCGGGGGCCGTGGCCCCGCGCCCGGCTGCGGGCCGGGATGCACCGGGAAGCGCCGCTCCGCGGGGCTGGGCGCGCTCCCTTCCCTCCGCGGGGCGGGGGTGGCGGCCGCCGCTCGGGGCCTGCGCTTGCCCGGTTTTTAAACGTTACCAGTTTACCGGTTACCGTGGTAAAAGGTGGTAAAAAATTCCTTTGGCGTGCTAGTTTCTTAGCGGCGGGTCGCGATAAGTTTTTGGGTATTTGCGGTTTCACGTGGTAGCTGAAGTTTAGTACCCCAAATCTGGGGTGTGCTTGTCTCTAGCAGAAAAAACGTGGATCCGCTGCTGTTTGCCTTGTTCCTGGTGCGTGGTGGAAGTGTGTATGTGGAAGCGAACTGATTGACATCTATTCTGCAGGGTTAATCAATAATCAGAATGGTTATTCATGTAATGCAGTTTTGTAGACCTTACTGAAAGCCTTAACTGCGCAACAGATTGTTACAGGGATGAAATTTCTACATCACTGTCGTCCTCAGGAGATAATATTTTTTAACAAATCTGAAGTATTGTGCTCCCGTTGTTGCGGTGGTGTGATGGTAGCTGACTGTCATATGTCTTGATAAAGTTTCGCAATTTGAAACTAAGTAATAAACCCAAGTTCATTATGTGTACTGCCAACTTCCCTCACTACTTTTTAAGTAAAAATGTGATTGCTGATATTTTTCCTTTACCTATTGATATCTCAAAATCCAAAGTCTGGGAAGCTTGGCAGTGGTGGGAAATTCAGTTGTCCCAGGGAACTAACCATGCCTAATGTTTATTTTTTCACTATAACCGTATGCAGAGGTGAAAATATAAATGTTCACTGAAGTCAGCGCTCCAACTTCATTCAAAGAGTAGATGTTACACTAATTTAAACTTGCATCCTGCCTCTCAGTGATGTGTAAAACCTTTGCTGTTCTTAAAAGCTTCTGTATCTTCTGATACAGAAGTTAAGAAGGCTTCTTTTTTGCCTTGCGATTCAAAAAACCTCCTGATGTCTTTTAACACACTGTTGTAATAGAAGCCTTTATAGGGAGACATGTTGATGAGAACAGTCTTGTATAAATGCTGATTAATCAAACGGCAAATAGTCTTAAGAAGTATCTTTCTGAATAATTTAATTTTAAAAGTGTACTGAGTAATTCTGCTATGATCAACATTTTTTCACACTTGCTTTAAAACTACATGTTGCAAAATTTCAAGAGAAAGTTATAGTTCTCACTGGAGTGAGAATCTTTTTTTTTTAGTTAATCTGTCAAATGAGCTTATGGAGGAACTTGTAATTTTGTTTTCCCTTTGTTCTATTTGAGAATACAGTTTTGTTTTTTTTTTCTTAAGTTGTGGAATTGCTATCTAATGTGGGTGTATGATTCTGAAGCTGTGATACAACTAGTATGATGAGTCTCTTTTCCTAAGTTTTTTTTTTGTTTTTTTTTTTTTTAATTTTCATAAAGGTTTTATTATTTCAGTTGAGAAAGGATGGAAAAAGAGTTATCTGTCAGTTGGGGTACTGCCCTGAAATACTAATAAAGATAACTTAATGTTGACATTGTTTCTGGTTTGGGTAGAAATGAGGCAGGTAAAACATATGTAGTTCTTAAACTGAACAAATCTAACATTGTAAAGTAGAACCTCCCTAATAAACTACCTTTTGAGCGAGTGAAACAAAGACTATAGACATATTATTTAAAGTATTTTTGAGTATTTTTAAAGAAATTTTCTGAAGCAGAGCCTTTACATGTTTCAGTGAAGATACAGGTGGTTGGTGATAACTGCAAGTTTGAGTATGCTCTGAGATTCTAAGTGCTGTCTGTGCCGCTTCAGGAAGACCTGGGAGTTTTGGGTGATTTGGGGGTGTTCTTTTTTTGTTAGAAGATGCTAAACACCTTCTGAGAATTGAATGTCATTGTTTGGTCTCCAAACTGTTAGTTGAAAATTCAAGCTGCTAAGATAAGTGTTGGTTAAAACTGCCCTAATAGACCTAAAGTTAAACAACATTTTTCATAAGTCCTCTTGTGACTTTTTATTTTCAAGGGCATTTAATAAAAAAAAATAAAAGAAGAAAAATTACACTTCCTTGCTGCTTTGATACAGAAGTGGAGGCATCATTTTATTTCTGTGAAATGCTGAGACTAATTTAGATCCAAACCTTGTATTTAATGAGGGTGAGAATATGTAAAAGTAAACACAGAGAAATAATTTTTATTTGGATCAGAAAATTTCTGTAGAAAGCTCTGAGAATTTCATTTTTATGGCAAAGAAATTGGCACTCTATTTAAGCTTATTATGTTAGCAGGAAAATGTGACTGAAGTTAAAGTGATGAAATTCAAAGAAACCAGACTGGTGTGAACTGTAATTTTTTGCTGCTTATCAAAAGCAGACCACATATGTACCTAAACCTATGGGTGTTTATAGTTGAAGTTAGTGGGTCCTTGTGTTGCTTGGTTAGCAAGAGGAAAACTCAGGAACAACACTAAACACAGCAGCTGTATTTTATTTTCAAATTATATTCAGTCATTCTTGTACCAGATTAAATCTTCAGGTATTCAAAATTCTTCAAAGACTTCAAAATTCTGGAAGATAATGCTCAAGCTTTTAAGGAGTCATTAACCACTTCCTTATTATTATCCACAGATTTCTGGCTCAGAAGCCATTTTGAATTTTTTTATTATTATTTATATTCTACAGAGAATTACATAGTTTACCTTTTCCTGTCCTTGCTTTATAAATACCTGTTTTTAACCCACTTTGAGTTATGTGCTTGTGGAAGACATGTAGTATAGCCTAGTATGAATGAAGTTCACTCCCCAATCTTCTTTACTACTACTATCTGACATAATCAGAAGTGGAAATCATCTATCACAATCAGAAACATGAAAATAGAGAAATATAAATAAATCTCCTAGTTTCCCTAGCAGTGTCAAATTGCTGTTCATTGATTTAATCTTTAGTCAAGAAAATTAATCTGCTTTGTCTGCCCTGTCTGGGGAGATAAGCAGTTGATTTGGGTTCTATCAGGGAGTATTTATCAGGTTTTCTGCTGAACTAATCCTGTGTTAAGTGATAAGCACAAGTGTGTGTTTGTCAACTTCTAAAGGATATTGTGATTAAATGAAATCTTGTATCAAAACATGAGGATGAGAGTTAGTTATATTATAAAATTATGCCTGCAGCTGCTGTTTCAAGGTACAGTTCTTAATTCTTTTGCACCCGTTAACTGTTGCATGTAATTGCACTCTTGCTTTTGGTTTTCCTGCTTTTGACCGTTGTATATATTTTGTACTGTTAGTTTCATTTGGTGCTGTGTATTTTTAACTAAAGAGTATATTTAAGAGACCTTTTTTCCTTTTTCTTTTCTCATTTCAGCATGTGAAAATTGTGCCTATTTCTTCAGGTCTGTGGACGTGAGTTTTACATTGGAGTTAGAGGGCAGCATTTTTGACACACTTTGCAGAGTGGGTAGGTGAAAAAAGATTTTGACTGTTCCTGTTGATACCACTCTTCCTTGCTCTTGCTGTTTCCCTCTTGGCTGAAGTTGTTCAAACTCAGGTCTGCTGCCAAAAGAGCAGCACCATCCTCAACAGTGCATTTCTGCACCTCCCTCATAGTGTAGCAACTGTCATATGTGAAATGCATGATAAAATAAATTATTCTGGTACCATGCTGCCTTGCAGTTGTTAGTCACTGCAGTGAGAGCTGTGAAAACAGAATGGTGAGGAATGACATGACTACCTTTGCTCACTGCAGCCATAGATCAGCTTAAAATGACCAGGAAACCACACCCTGAACTTGTGAAAGCCAGTGGAATGAATGCTCATATGATTCAATAAACCAACCATTATCTCTGCAATTAACTTTCTTAATCACACTGAACTACTAGTAATTTAACTTGGTGCCATTCTTACTCATTAAAAGACATGGTGTATTACAATGGCATTTGAAGTCAAGGAGAAGATAAATCATTCTTTCTGCACAGTGAGTAGTAGAAGCAAAGGAATCAGAATTGTGTTTGCATGTGTACGCTGTGTGAAAGTGTGCATGCTTCACACAAGCGCACAAGTGGATGGTGGGCTCAGTGCTCTCTCTTAGGATCTTACCATTTAAATGAGACAATACTGTTATCTTGGAAGGAGGATTGCATTAATCATGGGAATAAGGATGATCCAAAACCAGTTCACATATAGGCAGAAATCAAATCTTAACATGTTGTCTGCTTTGGGTGGGACCAGACTATAAGGCAGAATTGGGGAATGGTAACCTTTTCCTTGTATGTAGGTTGCATGGTAGCTACAACTGAAGTACATGAGAAGGATGTAACAAAATTTTAGAGTATTTCTCCAGCTTTTGATCCAGCTTACAAGGTAGTTCCTAGACTGCACTAGTTTGGAAAAGACAATGAACATTTTTAAAGCAAGAATTCAAGGCACATTTTTGCACATGTCCAGAGTGGTAACATACTTCAAGGGCTGCATTTGAATGTGTAAATTATGCTTCAACACTTTGAGATACAGACTCCTATCTTAAAGGTCTTTTCCAACCTAAATGATTCTATGATTCTCTATGTCTTCAGGCATTTAACCATAGTGTTTTCTAGGCTAAGAACAAATATTGTTTGGCAGTCAGTATGAAATGCATGATGGTGCAGTGATCTCAAAGACCACTAAAAATGAAAAGAATACATCATCCAAGTATTTTATTGACTTGTAACATTAAGAGGTGACATAGTTCAATTAATAAATTACATTTAATCCCTCTTGCTATATTTAGGCCTTTATCTTCCTGATTGTGCACAGCTTAATTAGGATTTTGTTTCTCTATTTTTTTTTCCATTTCTGTAGGTTTTTTTTCTGGTTCACTTCCTCATTTTATTACACATGATACTGAATTAATTTTCTTACTCTTTTGATTTGTCAGTTCATCTGTTTCTATTTTCTAGTCTCTAATTTGTCTTTCTTGCTTCACGTATGCAGACAAACTGTTTGTTCTGGTCTTGTGTTATCGGGAAAACTACTCTACTCATGTCTGTTCCTTCCCCTTCATCTCAGTTATCTGTCCTTTCCCAAAACACAATCAATGTTGAAGTAATTCAGTGCACAGTTTATGACCTTGGATATGGTGGAAGCTGCAGTGCAAAACTTAGTTTCTGTGGAGAAAACTTCTAAAACTCAAAAGCACGTGATATGCTCGTTTTTCATTTGATTTCTTGCAGTGCTAGAAACTTTTTTTCTGTGTAATAAGACCTGGTAGAGAAGCTGAGCTGTCTTAATTGTCATTAGCTTGAAATTCTGTCATAGAAGATTTTCTTTCTATATCATTTTCTTCTACTGTGTACAAATCTGCTCATAAATATACAATGGTTTTCTAAAATGTATGGAAGTACAATTAGGTGTACAATTAAAAGTGTGACAGTAACTTGAAAATAATTCTTCATTGCTGAATCTTTCCTGCAATGTTCCATAACATACTGTCTGTAGGGAAATCAGTTTGCTCATGCTAATTTTTGTCTTGCCATCACATAAAATAAGTTTCAACTGTATGTGTGTATATTTATATGTATGTACAGTAATGAGACTTCTATGTAAATAAGAAGGTCACTCTGTCTATACTGTTCCTTTGTAGCTTCTGCTCTATATAACTTGTTTTTGGTATGGTTGCTCTCTGTAGGGCTGAGGGTTGGATGATAAATGCAGTCTTTGGTGTAAAATCCTTAAGTAACAACATTATAATTCCTTAGAAATATTTTATTTTTGTGAATTTTATTTTGGACATACAGGGTTTATCTATTTTGTGTAGAAAATTGGTATTTTTATTGCACGTCTATAGCAAGTGTAGCGTAGCGTGTTGTGAAGGATGTTATGTTCTCTCAGAGAAGCTATTTATCATGTTACTGGTTGCCATTTCAGTGTGTATCTTAAAATAAAAGGAGAGCAACTCAGAACAGACACCAAAAGCAATGTCTCAGCAGGATCCAGGGTTCTAAAAGCAATCCAAAGACTAGATTTGAACTGTCCTAGGCTGAAAAGTGTTGGTCATTCACTTTTCAACCAGTCAAGTTTAAAACTGTAGACTTTCCAAAGGTGGTAACTTGTTTAATAACCATATTTTATAAAGCACAGAGAATTAACAGGGTGCATGGATTTAATTATTGATAAAATTCAGGAGTTGTATTCTGCTCAAAATCATGTTTCTTGCATATCTGATTGTATGTTTTACTGTTAAATCACTTCACAATATATTCAATCAGGGGAAAGTAATTTTTTTTACCAACTAACTGGTGTGTTCCATTGAGAGGTGGAAGAAATGAAGACTGTTGGAGGATATATCACTGTGAAGTAAAACTGAAGGGAAAAGTTCATGTGTGACTTATGTTGTATTTAGGTGAAGAAATGAGCAAGGAGAAGAACTTGTCCAAATGTATGGAAAAGATGAACCATTCATTTCCACAAAAGATGCATGTTTTCTGGATATGGGGGAGAACATAAACAAAAATAGGGGTTTATTGATGCTGTGCTATCTCCTGAGTCTGCCAAAAGGCTAAGATTATGACTTCCCTCATTTATGCAACTAGTGTATTAATATGGAAGCTTTCATCTGAAGCATCTTTACAGGGGCTAGTTTATTACTAATTTTTCCAAAACATGAAGTGGAGGTGGGCCTGAGAAACACAGATCACTGCATGAGAGAATTTCTTAGTGTGAGAAACTGATAAGAAACTTTGCTAAGGAAGCAGAGAGGAAACCAAATACTCATGAGACAGAAAGGACAAAAACTGTGTAGTTCATCGGTATGATTGTATTTTCCTTACATACAACACTACTCTCTTATAAAGTATTAAGGAGTAAATAAAAATTCAACTTGTAAATAGAAATATTGAATCTGTTGTTGATCTTGAGGCAAATCTTTCACCTGCTAGAACAAGAGCTTATTCAATTCATAGGTGATACACATAATCAAAACCACTTTTATTACTTTCCAACCTCTCTACTTTAAGTGTGAAATTTTTAGAGCTTTTAGTCCTAGATTTAAACGATTGTATGTGCATATGAATTTTCCTTTAAAAAAAAAATTAAAATTACTCTATTTTGGATGAGATCTTTAATTGTGAAGCAGAAAATTCAATAGTCAAAAATCATACAGTCAAGAACATGTGTCTTTAGAGTGTCACAGTTAAGTTGAGACTGGAAAGATTTTTTTTAAAACTATTTGTAAGGCTTTGAAAATTGGTAAGTTAGTGAAGCAGTTTCATGCTTTTAAGTTAAATGATTGATCACTTAAGAGTCATAACTTTTTGGTATCTTCCTGTGAATCTGTGATGCTTTTTGAGCACATGGGAAGTGAGTTTCCTCCCCCCAATATTATTTTCTTAAACTGATCTGAGTATATTTAGTTCTGCCAAACAGTAGGAATCAAAGTAACAAAAGTAGATGTCTTTTATCCTGCAAGGCAGAGCAGCTGATAAACACTGTATCCTGGAATTTTTCTGTTTTCAGAAGGAACTAGAGTAAAAAATGAATGCCAAAGGGGATGCTTCAGATAGCAGCTTTGCAGAAATTTTGATTGGTATTGTAACCCTGCTAGTTGTTTTCTTTCTCTTTCTTCATGCTGTGCAAGTTAAAGTATTTCCTTTGCAGGAGGAAAGAAAATGATCCACAGTTCATCACATTTTTACTTTTATCACAGTGTTTTTCTTTCTTCCTTTAACCCGTTTTACCTTTGCGTAATTTGCTAACATCTTTCAATCTTCTTTTCCTTTTTCAAAATTTTTTATATGCGGTATTATATAGTGTAAGTGTTGATACAGATCTCTTAGCAATTGATTTAAATGGAAGAATCTCTTTTATAGCCTTTCACACACACTAGTTCTTTTGTTAAAACCCCTCCTGGTTTTTGTTGTTACAATATTGTTTGGCATTAGTGTCATGGTGTTGTTCTGTTTATTTCAGCTTTACTTTCTGGATTTTAGCCTTTAAAAAAAAATAAAAACCAGATTGTACAGTTATGGTACTTTATATGGCTGGCCAAAACACTTTGCTTCTGGCCAAATTCAAGAGAGACAGCTTACTGTTGGTTTATTTGGGATCCTGGATGTTTAGAGCATGATTGGGCGTGGTAAAGTATAAAACTATGCAAAACCCTACACAGTGTGGCATTGTATAGATACATTTGTGATTTTTAAGTATAAATCCCTTAAATTTGAAGCCAAGCATCTTCATCTACACAGTACTTCATTCTGTATAGTGTTTATTTAGAGATATGTTCCCATATTCACTTGCTTATTAAGAATTAGAATGAAAACTTTCAGTAAGGATTGTGTTCACTGTTCTATTGATAACTTGAAAAAGATATATAAGTAAAAAACTGTGTTAAGTCCTGAGGAAAACCTAATCTTCACATAATTAAGGTATAAGCTAGCTAGGAAGCATAGATATCAATCTTTGTTTCCAGAAAAGTTTGTATTT